TTCTATGATTCTATGATATTAAAAATCACTTCAAAGTTAATCAAAAGAGTAAGAAATGACAGGGGTGTTGGAACTAGGTAATCTTTAAGGACCCTTCCAATCTGAACCATTCTGTGATTCCATGAAAATGGAAAACAGATTAATGTTTGAGCATAAAGCTCAAATAGCTCAAAGCTCAAGTAGTGATGTAGAGGGTTTTCTGACTTGATCCCTTTTTTCCCCCCAAGAAAAAACCCAGCCAATTAAGCCACTTGCTGCTAAACTACTATTGAGAAAGACTTGCCTGTGAAACTGATTGACTTGAATTTTTTCCAATTAATATTTCAGATATAACTGGCATTAATTGAAAGAGGTTTGTGTTTTGCATATTAGTAATTCAGTGTTTGTTATGACTGCTGTTTTGTAATATATGTTTGTATAAAAGGTTGTTAAATAATAAGAGTAATGAGGAAGTTTTCATCTAGTTACTTGAGCTGTCTAAAATCTAGGCATCCAGGCTCCCTCTATAGTCAGCTGAGAGACATGAGCGGCTTAAAGGAACATTCAGCTCACGCTGAGAGAAGTGTTTTGGAAGAGCCCAGAAGTCAGTGACTGATTTAAGTGGATAAAAATGATGGCTCAAGTTATGAGAAAGTAGTGACACTTTTGTGACTGACTTTTACTGCCAGACAGTACATTGGAAGTAGTCATGGATGTAGTTTTTTTAGGATCTTTAGTATTTGAGTACAATATTCAACTTGTATTGTCGTTTCTTCAAAAGCACTGAATGCTTGGGTGCCAGGTATTTAAAAACTGCTGTGATTTTCCCCCACTCCAGTAACTGGGGTTTATTTAGAGATTGAGCAATGTGATTTATCAGGCCAGTGCTTGATGCTTGCTGTAGCACAAGGTAGATAGCCTTCTGGAATTGCGTGCTTCTGTTCATTGATTGTAAGGGGAGCCTCGGTGACTACTTCAAATGTAGAAGTTGACATCATCTACTATGTGGAAAAAAAACCTTTCCATTTTATTGCTAAGAGCCCAGGGCTAAGGCTTTTTTTTTGTTCTGAACTAGCTGGCAAAACCAGCATTTCCTTCGTTTATCACTGACTTGGAGGACAGATATAATACAGTCTTGGTAAGTGAATAAAGAGCAATTTCTTTCCTTTACAAATTAGAATTATGATATTTTAATAGTTAGAACTGTTATTTGCAACTATTTAAAAATAGCATGTTTGTGTTGTGTAAAACCATGAACAGTCTCTGTAAAAGCATGTAACATGTAGCTGTGATAAGCAAGGAAGTTAAGTTTATTAATCTTTATTTAGTCTGCAGATATTGCTGATCATGTTACCCTGGCAGCCCTTTAACAATGGGCAAGCCACATGGATGTAAATATCTGATATCAATAAAATATGAAAGATAAGACTTGATTGTAATTCTGAATATCCTTGCTTTTTAATTAGACAGCTTTTTTGAAACTAGTTAGTGTGACTTGGCTATTCAAGTTGCTTATGAATATGTTGATGTTTAAAGACGTTCTACTTTTTTGTTTAAAAAGTAAACATAGTCCTTGAATTTTTATGAACATTCTCAAGGTTATTTTCTCTGTTTAGAAAGTATTAAACTGCATTTCAATTTTAGATTTCAGGAAAGCTAAGATTACTATTTAAAGACATTTTTATAGGATACTTAAAATGAAATCAAAGGAGCTAAGTATTTCTGTAGATGGAGCCTTGGTGGAGGTTCTGTCAACTGTAAAACCTTCTGGATTTACTGTCCGGTTGTTGTAACTCCACATGCAGTAAGACAAGCAACCTTAAAGTGAATTTCCTATGAGAGATTTTCAGGTAAGTATTAATCTACAATGCACAAATAGGATTTGTGAAGCATGGTACAAAAGCTAGAGTTAGTAATAGACTAACCCTCTTTCTTAAAAATAATGATGTCATACTTTTTCTCCCCCCCTCAATTATATGTTATGCTTGTTAAAAATAGGGTAGCATTCTGAACTTGAACTTTCTGGGTATTTTTCCTAAATTGGCTTTCTCCATTATCTAGAAAAATGGTCTTCTCTAAACCCTGAAATGATCTGTCTGGAAATCTCCTTGCATTCATTTTGGTGGTTCTGGTAAACAGTTCATAAAAATATGTGCCGCATAACTGACCAGAGTCGGTTGCCAAGGGAATGACAGCTTAAGACACTAAAAAAAAAAAAAAAAATCTGTGGTGAAACTTATGTTTAAATTTGTTCTGAGACTGTTGCCACCAATTCAAGCTAAAGAGCTCCCCTACTTGTCACTGGTCAGCCTTATAGGATAGTGAAAAGCATTGCTTTTATGTTTTTACTTCGTTTTTTCATACCTTCAATCCTCATAAAAACTGAACTCCTGAAAATTTCCTAATGTTGCTCTATTTCCATTTCGTTTTTTGAATGGTTCCATCATACCTAGAGGAGGGCTGTTAAGGTGAGAACCACTGTTAGTCCATAGGCTGCAAGGAGCGAACCAGCTGCTGTAGTGAACAACTTTCAATGCCATTGTAATGCTATTTTGTATGTATTTTGAAGAATTGTATTTTTTTTAGGACTCCTGCCATTGGCTTTAGGTGACTAAAAGCCAGGACCAAAAGAGACTAAATTGGATGAGAATGGAAAGTATAGGAGAGTATTTGGACTGAAGTTCACCCAAAACCAGGGTGCTGCTGTTTAGTACTCTCTGTGGAGATCTAGAGTAAGTGAGACTGACAGCAGACTTCTTTAATATGCTTTGATCAGTACCAATAAATGTGCAGATAATTTTGAAACAAAAGGCTGCCTATAAGCAGTCTTTTTAATGAGTACAAGTACTCCCTCTTTTTGGTGAGTACAAGAAGAGTTTTTCCTCTCATGTTAAAACAATAAAGCTAACTTCACATCTTGTGGAAACCAAAGTCTTAAGACCTAAACTATTGCTAGATTAAGTGTCCTGTCCTCCATCTAGTTTTGTTACTGTATTTCTCTCCAGCTTCCCATCTTCAGCTCTGTCTTGACTCCTCTGATACCTGATCTTTATACTCTTCATTGAGAAGCCATGTGTGCCATGTTTGATCTTACTGTATTTACTTTTAATGAAAATGTGCTGAGACAGTTGTTTCATAGCCTCCTGAATACCATCTCAGAAGCATGAATTGTGTTCTGAGAAGTTGAGGGTTCATTACCATATAAGATGCCGTATCGCTGTGGTATGAACTGCAGTTATGGCTGCACAGGCTTTCTAATGTACCTGGGCTAAATTCATATTCCAGACCTGAAATTTTCTAAAAGCATTAATTAATTCTAAAAACATTTCTAAAAGTACTAAAGCATTACAGTTTAAGTGATGCAAAAAAAGGGTGTTGCAGTAATATAGAAAGACAGATTATTTTTCTAGAGAAAACTAATAAATTATTGCAGATACTATTATGTTTACCTCAGTCTAAAATATGTGTTAAGGATATGCTATCACCTAACCTATCTTACATTTTCCTTTGGAATAGTTATTGGAATTGTTCCTTGGTTGTGAGTTCTTTGTCTCAGTAATTACTACATAGTATGATATTTTTAATTTTTAAGTGTGACATGAGAGAATATACTATTCACATTTGTTCTTGTGTTTGGGGTAGTAATCATTGTGTCATGTAAGAAATCAAATTACTAAAGCACTTCCTTTGAGAAATATGTAACATCTTTACATTGATGAGGAGTTGTCTTGTTTTTGTTGCTTCATCCTATAGTGTATTTGAAGGAACAGAGCAGGGTAAGATGGTTGCATCACCCAGGACTTACTGTAGAAATGCATTAAAAAGACAAAACCAAAACAAGCAAAGGTAACTAAGCAGGTCAGATATGTTATGACCTACAGGCATCTAAAACTTTAAATACTGCCCTCACTCCCCATTTTTAAAGCATAATTTTTGAGTTAGCCACCTAGACTTTGGTGCAGCTTACAAGGTAGAGTAGTTACTACAAATGTAACTTTAATGTACAGGATGCTTTTGCTAATATTTACAAGCTTTCTTTTGATTCTTTCTGTGCCAAGGTGTATATAGTCTTTAACAGTGATTTGCAGTGAAATAGTTGAAACTCTTTTGAACTTGTGCACGCATTTGTTGAAGACACTATACAAATATTTAAAGCAGCTAGAAAATATACAATTTTTGAGAAATCATGCTTAGTAAAGACCAGAGTAAAAGTTGCATGAGTCTTTAGTCCTTTCACCTATATTTTTTTGTTCTTAACTGTACATGATTTTTCCACTGTTTTCATAAGTAATATAGAAACTTCTGGCCTCTTAGAAAAGAGACCTTTAAACATTACAAAACCTGTAGTTTTTTCACTATGTGCTCCTTTAGCAATGGAGTTTTTGGAAGTACATCCTTGGGGTGGTGGTACTCTGACAGATGTTCACTACACACAACTATCTGCTTTAATGAGGGTGGGAAAAGCCTGCTTTTCCACCAGCGTATTTGAATTCAGCAGGTGGTTTTAGTTTCTTAGTAGAGAACTTTATCAGTACAACTGCATCCGTGCCAGGTTTTAACTGGAAACTCATACCTCATCCAACCTAGCCAGGCTGCAGAATTGGTGAGAAGATTTGACTTAAAGATTTATGTCAGTTTTCCTTAGCTCCCTATGAACTCTTCAAGATTTTCCTGTCTTCAGCATATATACTTACGAAATACGCTTTTTGGTGAACACCTGAAAAGTTTTCCTTAGCTGTGGTTTCAAGTGTATGATGGTAATATCTGTCTGTCTGCAGATTTCACTCTAAAATTTGATTGAACCAAAAATGGCTTTTCATTGCTCAAATATGTTGCTCTTGAATAGGATCTGTTTTCATGTCAGATTTTGGTTTTCTTTGGGTAGAAGAATCTGTTTTGGTTCTCTCTATGATGCTTTTCCACTGGTGAAAGCTTTGTCCCCAGCTAAACCTAGGGTTTCATGAACAATTTAAAGAACCCTTGGGGTTCTAGATGAAAGGGAGGCTAGTCTGTGAGTGCATGTAGTCTCAAAGTGTAACATAACACTTAAAATTACAAACATAATGAATGTTAGCATACTCTTCCTTTTTTTTTTTCTTTTCCCCAAAAAACCGCCATCAAACAATCCACCACCCAACAACAAACCCCAACCAACCACTTATTTTTAACCTGTTGACCAGGCTGCTATTCCATTTTTTGGGGGGATATCAAAGTTAAAAAAGATGGTTGATACACTGAAAACAGCTACTGTTTGTGTCTCTGCCAGTGAGAAGTTGTAATGAAAGCAGAAGAGGAGAAAGTATCTTGGTTAGCAACAAACCCAAACCATGTGAACAGGTTTGTAGCTCTATTTGCCGCAAAGCTTAAAAAGTAACAAGAAGGAAACTTCTCCTTTTCATATTAGCAGCTGGCAAATCTGTGAGGATACTCCTGATGACTATACCTAGTGCTCAGGTATAACACCTTGTAGATCTCATTACTAAATCCAGTTACACACTTGTAATCACAATTAAGCTGCTTCTTAGCTGATTGTGCCTGTATATGGATTCTGCCAGGACTATTGTGCTTTTCTTCAGTGACATGTTGAGGTTCATACCCATAGCTGGGTGTTTCAAGTACTCTCTTATTCTAGCTAATCGGTTACGGCTGTTGGGTGAAAATAGCAGTGATGGTACCAATGGCTTGTAATTAGCTTCTAGTTTTCAAGACATAATGCAACAAAACTTGGTTCTTTTTTAGTAGACTAGCATGCCAGCTGAGTATTTAACCTCTTTTTCTAATGATGTCTTTGTCATTAACTGCTGTTGAAAAAATTGGAGTCTTACCAAACAAGTCAATGTTGACGCTTAAAATTGCATATATTGCTTAATTTTGTTATACGTAGTACAAGGCCAATATGATATTGTACGCCTGAGCTTTCCTGTCTGACAACATAAAATTTACTTTCATCTGTTTGTACATGCAGATACAGTCAACTCGCTGTACAACAGATGAGCCCTAGCTAATGCTGCTGTGATACCTTTTAGCTATTGTAATTGAAGGTAATGCTGCTTAATTCAGCCTGTGATGGGGAAGGCTTAAGATCACTTGTTTTCTTCAGGAGAAAAGCGTTACTGTAGCTCAGATTATTCACAGTGCTTTGGAACACAATAGCCTGCTCGTGTTTGTGTGCCAAACTTAACTCTGCATTTGTTGGTACAGAAAATGTCCTGTAAATGCAAAATTCAAAGCCCACTGGATGTAAGTACATTTTAAGGAACAGAAATATAATTTGGGACACAAGTAATCCTCAGAAAATCCAATTGCAGATGTTCACTGGAAGAAAACTTTGGAATTGTGTGGTTTGATTTGCCAGCTTATCCAGACTTAAACATTACCTGGAAGTTATTAGATGGGAGGAGTCTTTACAGTTTGAATCTTCGTAAACCTTTTCTTGCTTAGATATATTCTTCCAGGGTGGCCTTAGAACATTATGCGTCCAGCTGTGGAGCCCTCAATATCAGAAGGATATTGACCGGTTGGAGCGAGTCCAGAGGAGGGCCACGAAGATGATCAGAGGGCTGGAGCACCTCTCCTATGACGAAAGGCTGCGAGAACTGGGCTTGTTCAGCCGGGAGAAGAGGAGGCTCCGAGGAGACCTCGTTGCAGCTTTCCAGTATCTGAAGGGGGCCTACAAGGGTACTGGGAGAGGACTTTTTACAAGCGCCTGTAGTGATAGGACAAGGGGTAATGGGTATAAATTGAAATCAGGGAGGTTTAGATTAGATGTCAGGAAGAAATTCTTCACAGAGAGGGTGGTGAGGCACTGGCACAGGTTGCCCAGAGAAGCTGTGGATGCCCCATCCCTGGAAGTGTTCAAGGCCAGGCTGGATGTGGCTTTGAGCAACCTGGTCTAGTGGAAGGTGGCCCTGCCCATGGCAGGGGGGTTGGAACTAGATGATCTTTAAGGTCCCTTCCAACCCAAACCATTCTATGATTCTATGATTATACACCAGTGGTATGTCCAACTCTGAACTGGAAAGAGGAAGAGTGGCATTGCCCACTGTCCATGAAACAGGAGGAACTAGGGGCAAAGATGCTGTTACAGCAAATAGTAGGAAGAAAATAGACTTGCTAAACATGTTCCCAAACTTCTTGTTGAATGAATGGGAAGCAAGTGATTAAGCTGACTTGAGGAATATTTTCCAGCGTTGGCTAATTAAGTTACTCATCTACAGAAGTAGTCTAATGTGAAGATGCTACTCAGGAAGGACCTTCTTGTTTTTAGAGTGGATTTCAAGTGTAATGTTCCTCAGACTTTGGGGGTTTATCTTTCGTAATGTAACACCTTCCCCACTAATCATGCCAACCAATAGCTTCCTATCATTAATTGCTGGCAGCAGCTTGGTTCTACAGGGCAGGGTAGAATTACTAGCTGTGGTTGAAAATGCTTACCCTTCTCACCTTGGGGAGCCAAGCTGTTGCTAGCAATTAAAGGTAGTTAGCTGTTCCCTGCCTCATGTAAACATTTGCAGCCAGTAATTACTACTGCTTCTCACTTCTTTGCCCTGGAGGAACTGAACTCTTCCAACAATACTTTGTAACAGCTTAGTTTTGTTGGGGTTTTTCTTTCTCTTATATTTTGTTATTGTAGTTTAACCGTATTTTCCCATTTAAAAATAACTGTGGTGGTTTTGACCTTTCACAACTCATTTGGAACTTGTAATCATATTGGGAGTTGCAACCTATATTGAGAAATACTTTGTGAAGTATCCTTTAGCAAGTATTTAAATGCTTTAGCTACCTACCCCTGTCCCACCCCCACCCCAAAACAAAAAGTGTAGTAGTTGAACTATCCTTTCATCTGTATGGCTGAACAGGCATTTTTACCTTATAGAAAGACTGTAGCAAAGGCAGAAATGCAATTGCTTTTGTAATTGTCAAAGAAATTGTTCTCATGCCAAGATTGTTTGTCCAGCTTGTCATGCCTCTGTTAGATATATCAGTTCAGAAATGATCAGTGGATGCTGAGTTCTTGCTTGTTTCAGTACACGAATCTGTCCCCGTTGCTTTGTTTGCTGCTCTGTGTAGAGGGCAGGGATGTGCCAGAGTTGATATGCTTATTCAAACTGCTTGGTCTATTTGATCTTTGCTTTCTGTTGAATCTCTCCTCTTGGCAGACACTTTACAGTCTCATATAAACTCGGATTAGATTTCTGAATCGAGTGCAATTTTCCTTATTGAAAACAAGTGTAATTTAAAGTTATTTTGAGGCAAATAGACTGAAATTTATTTCCAAATTTTAGTATTTTGTTAGTATTCTGATGTCTATCTGAACAATGAAATCTTGGCCCAATAATCTCCTGGTGATCTTTTATAGAAAATAATTAAAGTAAAATTTTAATTTACTCTCACACACTTCTTAGTTAATTTTTTTCATAACCATAGACCAAGAACTACTGGTATATGAACTCATATTGTCTGTGTTGCTTTATCGTGTAGAATTGACCATTGTTCCTCTTTCCTGCCATCCCTTCCTCCCTTGAAGTCTGGTCCTTCATGAAGCCTAAAATACAGTTTCATTCTGCTGCCTGGAATCTGAATCCCATTTCAATTGAAACAGCATCTCTCCACATTGGCTCAGTTCCTCTTTTTTTTGGTTCTCCTTTTCAAAATATAGATCACCTTTTATCATGGAGGATTAAAAGAGCCCTTTATGAATATGAATGTGTTTGGACCCTGGGTTGTAGTCCAGTAATCTGAGGCAGACTGTGCACCTGCACTTTGTAGAACATGGAGAGATGTGGGGAAGCTGCCAAGGAAACTGTTAGTCTTCATTCTGCCATTATTTCTAATATCCAGGCTCAGAAAAACACATACTGCATTCAAACCCTGCTCTAAAGTCCAATGTTATTTGTATGTCTGGCTTTTCAGACCTTACAGCTTTGGAGTTTATGGTATTAGTCATCCTTTTGAGTTACCAGGATGGTAGGTTGACCAGTAGTTGAGCGATTCTTCCAGTAAATAGCCAGTATTTAGATTTACTGTGATCAAGTTTGCATTTGAACTATAGGAGGACTTCGTGCCTACCTATTACAGTTTATCAAATTTCTATTTGGTATAGCAAAATTCAGTCTTGTTTATAGTTATTAGAGCTGGTTAACTTGATCTTCATGGAATTTATTGCCTTTGTAGTTCACAGTCAATGTTGTCATCCTCTTTTTTTTTTTTTGTTGTGTGTGTGTTTTTTTTTTTTTTTTTTTTTAGGCAAATGAGCTACTAGTGACTCTTCAGTTTTAATTCTTTCCAAAGCTTTCAACCTAAAAGTTTTCAGGGAAGCACATAAAGGAATCTATTTAGGTTTTGCTTTTTATAGCCATTTTATGGTAGTTTTATACTGTGTTTTACAAATTGTTTGTGTCTGAGTGGGGAATCTTCTCCAGTTAGATTCTTGCCATTTTTCCTGAGAAACAATTTTTAAAATGTATGTCAAGGTGTACATTGCTAAGATTTCTAAGGTACCAGATGAAGTAAATATCTGAATAAAGGTAAGTTAAATTTTGATTAATTAAAAAGTGATCTGTGTCTAGATAATGAAAGTTGCATTTTCACATCAAACCACAGCAAAACAAAACCAGACCAACCCCTGCAATTTGGTCCAGTTGTTGGTATAATTATTATAAATGGTCCTGGTCTAAATATGTGCATACACAATGAACTATTTCTCTTGGTTGTATTTACCATCTAGGTAGGTAAACAGTGGTTTTGAAAGCACAGAGAAATTTGGAGAACTTCTGTACTTTGCCTGTTTAAGTCTTAAACAGATTTTTTTTTTCCAATGTTTCTTTCACTTAATGTTAAAATCGTATGTTATAAATAGTTTCATTTCTAGAGCTCATTACTGGTCTAATAGAAGTGCCACTACTATTGAGGCACAAGTACCTCCTGCATGTTCACTTCTTCAAGTATGTTTTATTTTCTCAAGTTTGACAGTTTCCAATGCATTTATCATGGTAATTCTTGTCTGTCTTCACTTATGACAGTGGCTGAAATTGGTCCTTTGAATATTAACTTGAGTAGAAACGTTTTTCTCATTGAGTTCTGCTGCAATTGGCTGTGCAGTTCTATCTGATTTTTTTAAAAGCAAGTCTTCAGGAGATGAGTCTCGGCAAATTAGAACTTAAAAAGCATACACAAGACAATGTTAATTTCTTGTTTGATAGAAATCTGAAGTGGAGTGTTAGAGTTCAGTATTATGATGTGATTGAAGGTATCTATTTGATAAATTTGGATTTTTTTGTAAATTTTTACAAAATTTCCCAATTCATACTTACATTTCTGTGGCTGACTTGTGATGGAAAGTTTTGCTTACAAATTATTAGAAGTCCCTGAAGTTTATTTTCTTTTTTTTTTAAGATTTGCTTATTATAACCAAGTAGTCAGGATTGAAAGGAAACAGTCTCAGATAAATTTTACTTGCAAATTGTTTCCTATTCCACCAATCCAGAAATCATATCACAGTGTAATGCCTATTTTAGTGTAGCTTTAGATGAGGGTTGTTAGGAGTGGCCTGGTTTTTCTCCTTCTTTTTCGCAGCCCAGGAAGTATCGACTGGGGATGCTGGATGAGAGGATAGTTCCGGTGGGATCAAAAGCAAGAAAATCAAAGAACCCTATTGGCTGTCTGGCTGACAGGTGTAAAACAGGAGTACCCATCAATATGGTTTGGTGGAACAGAGTCACAGAAAACAATTTACAGGTAAAATTATTTTTTACTAGTCACTTTTTCAGTATTTTGGATGCTTTATTTTACATTTTGGAAAATGTTAGAAGCAGTTACTCCAAATATGGATTGAGAGTGCGTCAAATACTTATTTCACAAAGTAGGCATAGTGGCCCTCCAGGAGAGTGACTTAGAGATGTTTTGTTCTCTTCACCCACTGCTGTGCTATGTGCTCTGCTTGACTATGTTACATCTGTGGAGGAGGAGCAAAAGTAATAATTTAATCATCATATTTTGAAAGCAAGTGAACAAAAAATTTTAATTTCATTTTCATATGAGGAAGGTTTTTACTGGTAAAATTAGTGATCTTCATTAAAATGATTGATATTTAATGTGAATAAAAATTCCCTCAGTACAGAATTTAAACCTGTAACCACTATGATCACTATGATTCTTAATTTTTGTGTTGGGTTATTTTATATTCCTCAACTTATGTGTTAAACTTCTTTGTTACTTTATTTCTGAATTTTCTTAAACTCTAGGTACAGCTGGATTTGAGCATATCTCATACAGAAGTAGCAGGTTATCCTTAGTATGATAATGAAGGATATTTATAGTCTGGGAGGAGTCTGCTTCATGTCCCTTAAGATTGGGTTTAGATGGAAATTATTATGGTGGTCAAAACTTGTGTGGTGGTTTTGATTCTTCAGAGATTGTTACTTCGGTCTTTCTGTGAGGGTTATGTTCCTTTTGATTATCTTCTAGGTGAGTGAAATGGGTAAATTTGACAATAGGCATACAGTCAGAATTTGTGGTACCTTCAGAGCTTCTGTTCTCTGAAGTTCTGCCCATATCAGGGCCAGTGTGAGGCTCATAACAGGGCCTTTCTGTACCAGTGCTAGTGTTGCACTACTCCATGTTTGGACCTTGTTGCACTACTGAAAGTGGGAGTCCTGGGCACTGTGAAGCAGGCAAACTGATACTACATTGCACGGGGGCATTTGGGCTTAAATGTCTTGACCCTTTTGTTGCAGGGGAAGCACATAAAGAACAACCAGGTGTTCAGGCCCAGTCAGCTTGGGTACTGCTTGACTAACCTGATCTCCTTCTGTGACAAAACTTAGTGGATGAGGGAGAGGCTGTGTATGTTGTCTACACAGACCTTAGTAAAGCCTTTGACAGTTTTCCACAGCATTCTCCTGGAGAAACTGGATGCTCATGGCTTGGATGTGTACACTCTTTACTGGGTAAATAACTGGCTGGATGGCCAGACCTGAAGAGGTGTGGTGAATGGAGTTAAATCCAGTTGGTGGCTGGTTGCAAGTGGTGTTTCCCAGGGCTCAGTACTGAGGCCAGTTCTCCTTACCGGTGACCTGGATGAGGGGATTAAGTGCATCCTCAGTAAGTTTGCAGACAACACAGAGTTGGGTGGGACTGTTGATCTGCCTGAGGGTAGGAAGGCTCCATGGAGGGATCTGGACAGGCTGGGTTAATAAGCCAAGACCAACTGTGTGAGCTTCGACAAGGCCACGTGCCAGGTCCTGCACTTGGCTCATAACAACCCTCTGCAATGCTACAGGCTTAGGGATGAGTGGCTGGAAAGCTGCCTAGGGGAAAAGGACCTGGGTGGGGGTTAGTTGACAGCTGGCTGAATGTGAGCTGGCAGCATGCCCAGGTGGCCATGCATCCCGGCCTGCATCAGGAGCAGTGTGGCCAGCAGGACTAGGTCAGTGATTGTCCCCCTGTACTGGGCAGTGGTGAGGCCGCACATCGAATCCTGTGTTCAGCTTTGGGTCCCTCACTGCAAGAAAGACACTGAGGTGCTGGAGCATGTCCAGAGAAGGGAACGGAGCTGGGGAAGGGTCTGGAGCACAAGTCCTGTGAGGAGCAGCTGAGGGAGCTGGGGATGTTCAGCCTGGAGAAGAGGAGGCTGAGGGGAGACTGTATCACTTTGTACAGCTACCTGAAAGGAGGCTGCAGAGAAGTGGGTGTTGGTCTTCTCCCACATGACAAGCAATAGGACAAGGGGAAACAGTCTCAAGTTGTGCCAGGGGAGGTTTAGGTTGGATATTAGGTAAATTTCTTCACTGAAAAGGTGGTCAGGCATTGGAATGGGCTGCCCGGGAGTTGTCATCCCTGGAGGTATTTGAGATGGGTAGATGTGGTGCTTAGAGCCATGGTTAAGTGGTGGACTTCACAGTGTTGGAATCACTTAGGTCAGAAAAGACCTTTAACATCAAATCCAACCGTTAACCTGTGGTTTTATAAACAGCAAAGCCACTGGGTTGGTAAAGATGAAGCATAAAGGAGACTGTAGAAGGACCAGGTAAGGTTCAGTAGGGGGCCTTGTAGGCCCCCTCCAATACCTGAAGGGGCCTGCAAGGAAGCTGGAGGGGGCTTTTTCCAAGGGCCTGTAGTGACAGGACAAGGGGTAATGGGTTTAAATTGAAAGCAGGGAGGTTTAGATTAGATATCAGGAAGAAATTCTTCATGGAGAGGGTGGTTCCTTCGCTGGAACGGGTTGCCCAGAGAAGCTGTGGATGCCCCATCCCTGGATGTCTTCAAGACCAGGCTGGATGAGGCTTTAAGCAACCTGGTTTAGTGGAAGGTGTCCCTGCCCATGGCAGGGGGGTTGGAACTAGATGGTCTTTAAGGTCCCTTCCAACCCAAATCATTCTATGATTCTATGAAGGTTGTAAAGGAGTGGTTGGAGCCAGAGCACTACTTCTCTCAAGGGAGAGAAGGCCTATGGATTGCATTTACTATGTGTATCTAATGGGTGTGCAAACCTTAATTAGTAGGCAGTTGCTTTGAGAAGAGATGAACAGAAAATTGGTCTTCAAATTTCATGTGGACACTAAAGAGCAGGAAAAGCTATGTTTTGTTGTACTCATGCCCTCTGGGTGTTGGGTTTTTTTTTCCCCTCTGCTGTCTGTGTCACAGCAAGGTTTGTTATTGATCTACTCCACTTAAAGTAGGGCAGAAAAACTTAATGTTTCTGCAGGTTGAAGGGTTAGTCGTCTGGGACTTGGTGCTTCTGGCCAGAAGCAATTGTCTTTTCAGTACCTGTGCCCTCCAAAGTTGTGTTGAAAGTTGTAGCAATGAGAAGCTCAAGGTCCCCTCAAGGTTACTGGCAACTGCTTGGGATTGGCTGCATGGGATTGGCTGCAGAGCATGTAGCTTTTAAAGGCTGCAATTCCAAGCTCTCATTTGTGCCAGAATTCCAGCTACATAATTAACTTAAACTGTGTACAGCACAAGATTTTGTATTATAGGATGCAGTTTTATAGCTTGAGACATGGGACTTCAGAAAAGCACGTGTATGTGTATCTGGTGGAATTATGAACAGAAGGATGTTCTAGCCATGGGGACTAGAAAAGGGAGAGGGATTGCAGAGAACAGTGGAGTATAGCAGGAGTGAAATGGTACAGGTGTTAAAACAGGCAGCAGAGGACATATATGAGGATATATGAGGTTCTATATAGATGAGAACCAGAATTTTATCTTGATGTTTTCATTCTGATCAGTGTAAATCTTCATATTCTAGTGTATTTTTTAAGTTATAGCTAAAAAGTTTGACAATTGCTAAAAATTGGAGATTTTTAATTATAAAAGCACAAAAAATGGTTGGATAAGTTTGGCGCATGAAACTACTTAAAAATGAGAAGTTTCATGCCGAGATTTCAAATTGACCTTACATTTCTGCTTTAGTATGTATATGAATCCACAGATAGCATTGTGTTTTGAAATACGGGCTGTTAGAGATTTTTGCAGGTGCAAGTACAGGTTATACAAACTAACTTTTGGCTCATGGTGACTGCTAAGCAATAAGTAGAAAGGTTAAATTGTGATGGAGGCACATCTGTTTGAGGGTGTATTTTTTTTGTCATTTATGTTTGAAGATAGGAAAGCAGAATTACATCTCAGAATTGCTGAGGGCAGGTGTTGGAGCGCATATATTTATTTGAATGTATGGTTTAAGACATGGCAGTACACTGTTTCATGGTGCAGTTTTGTCCAAAAAGTGGCTGTTTTAAAAAGTGAGGTAGTTTACATGCACTGTAAACCAGTAGAATGTTCTCATGCATGGATATGAATTTATAATCCAGATCTACTCACTCTAAATTCTGTGGTAACATTTACATGGTGAAAAGTGGAGTCCATGGACGGAATTTTATACTGAGTTGTGCATTAAAAAAGCAAAAAGACCAAATTTGTTCTTCAGCAATATGTCCTATCCTATGTTAGGAAATATCCTGAGCTACTACACCATTCCATAATACTTATTATAATAGTGAATGGCAATTCTGCTTAAAGTAGTAGGACTAGATAAATTTTTCGTCATACAGATCAGTTCTTAAGCATCATGAATAACAGATTTTTCTTTTATTAATGAAAAGAAAAAAAGACTTCAAATATTTTGCATCAAGAACACAGACTTGTATAACTATATAGTTTTTACAGTACTTTGAAGTATATTGTTAAAGAAATGTGGAAATTTTGAGTCTTTACAAGTTTATTTTTAGTGAGATCTACTCGCTAAAATGTAACAAAACTTTGCTAGTAGTTTTATTTGTCAGAGCCTGTGTTCTGGTGGTTTAATTTTTTTTTTAAAGTCTTTAACCAACAAATTTTACCCAGTTTTAATGAAATTGTATCTGACTGTTCTGAAAGAGCAGTGTAGCAATACAGCTAATGATGTTGATGAATTGAAATCTATTAGAGTTTATTGTACGGATGATGTGATGACTTGTCACAGTAATTGCTATATAGGGAAGCATGTTGCACAAATTCAATAGTGGGATGGAAAGAGACTTGCTTTGAAGCCCTTTAAACTGACCTCCAGTGTCTGGGCTGCTCTGACATGCCAGAATGTGTCCTTCCCTGGTGTCATAGTGAACAAGGAATCATCCTCCTGGAAACAGGGATTGCGGTGATGCTGTCTGTGTGAGGATCCTTATATGGCACATCAGTCCGTTATAAAACAACAGCAAAGAAACCTCAGAAAAACAACAAAAAATAACCACACAGTAAAACCAAGCAACACTTCTGAATGTTTTGGAATCCTGAGAGATTCTAAAAAGTATGCCAAAAATAGACTGGTAGAGGAGTGCCCTGCTTATAGCATGGGTATAGTGTAGTGCTGGTTTTCTGTAACCATTACAGGATTATGCAATTTGGGATGTCAGAATAGATCAGCATGAGATTGGAGGTGAAGGAGAACATAAAAAGAGAACAAAAATGCGTTCATCCAGTTTTTAACATGGTAAGTACATTAGCACACTCTTCTGAAAATGGAATCGGCCTACTTTTTGGTTTAGATAGCTGGCTTGGGTAGAATGTGGGACTAGGCCTGATCTAATGGTATAGTGTTACAGTCACTGAAACAGAGGTGGTGACTCTGCCACTGCTGTGCAGCTTTGTGAGATGCTGAACTGGAAATGAGGATGAGAAGGGTGGTTTCTAGTACTCCCGCGGGATCGCTGCATGGCCTTCCAAAGGCTCCATAACTTGAGCATCCCAATGTTACAGTGTACTTTGGTACTCCATGGCGCTCTGAGGATTAAGTTTTGAGTGAATGCAGCAGTGGAGCCTTAGTGATAGAGCCTTAGCCTCTATCACTGGGGAGCATAGAGGAAAAAGCATATGTATTGGAATTGGTAGTTGGGGAAAGAGGAATTTGTATCTTGCTTCTGGACTATGGAAATCTGGTATGTGCAATTCCTCACCATGCAGTAATGCTGCACGCTACTAGGCGGTCCTCCCACGGGTGGTCTTCGGCTGAGATCCTTGGCTTGTTCTTTACTTTCTTCTGCACCTTCCTTTAAGAAGTCTTGCATTGTTTTTCAGTGGTACCCACAAAATATTGGTTTCTTCCCCTCCATGCTATGTTTTTAATGGTATTTCCTTTTATATCTTTAAAAGCATGTAAAAGCTACCAGACAGAAAAGCTCTGTGCTGAATGGTGATACAAATGAGTTGTTTTATAGTTCAGCCCCTGCTTTTCAATTCTCATGTGGTTCCATCCTTACTGATTGCATCATGCCTAAACTCAGCCTTCATTTGGACTGTTTGTTTGTGTTCTATAACATGTTGCATTCCCAGATGTATGGAAGTATAGAAATTCTTTTTGTACGTGCAGCTGGATGGATTCAGTTTTATAGTCTACCTTTAGAAATTAGTTTGCAAAGTTGACTGAAAAGAGGCTCTTCACCCTTTGAGAGAGCACAGACATGAAGAATCTGAAAATAGGGTATTTAAGTGACATTTCTTCATGGAATCATTCTGGTAAGAATGCACGATGCAGGTATTAATTCAGATAACACCTAGGGAAGTTGCTTCCCTTCTTTAGTTTGACAGTATTTTTATGACTGTACTGAAGGAAGGGGAGTGAGATTTAAACTGGCCAGGAAAAAGGAATGGTGAAGCTTCACATAGATGTAATGTTATTTAAATGTGGCCTGGGGCTTAAGCTCCAAATTTGCTGACAAAAATATTAACTAGTTTTGTGCATAGATTAATAAATTTTGTTGTACTATTTTGATTAGTTTATTCTGGGTGGTGGCTGTGGTGTTCAGGTATTTTTCTGAGCTGTATTTAGAGAACGCCTTGAATATGGCAGGGTCTTTATAATTGGAACCAAAATTTTAATCACGTTTTTACTAATTGGGAAAGTCTTGGATTTCAACTTCATGTTTGTAACATCAGATAAGTAAAACAGGCTTCTATAGGGTCTAGCTGTGCAAATCAAAGCTGTTTACTCATATAAAATGCTTTCATCAAAGTTATATAGAAACAACTTAATCTTATCAGTGTTGGATTGTGATCCTGAATTGTGACACCAAAAAATGGAATGAAAACTGAATTTTCATCAGGCTTGACCCACTGCTGTTTGTAATTCTGCACCACAAACCCAAAATGCTCTAGCAGATTCCTGGGTTCGACTCGCATAAACCAAAACACCTAACAGTTGAAAGTGGCGCTCTCGAGCAGCTTAATTTAAAATGATGATGGATATGTAAGTAACTTTCAGAGACCAAAGCTGGTCTGTGAAAACTTCTGCAGAATGCATTTGGAAATAAAAAGCAGCCCTATTCTGTAGGCATTAATTGAATCAGTTGGTGGAAGTGGTAACAGTTTAGTCAGAACGGTATGGATGGGATTTTGGGAACTCTCAGTTGCTCTTCCCTAGGCTGAGGTTATCTTGCAGAAGGTGTCTTTCTCTCCGCTTGCATCATTCAATTTTTTTTTTCCATGTCATGTATCTGACACAGTGTTTAGGTGTGGTAGATCTATGGATGTGTCGTGGCTGGCTTTAGCAGCGGTAGAATGTGGATCTCACGTAATTCCTTTAAAGTGATGTGATTTTAGTAAGATACAACAAATTCTGTCCCTTGCTCTCCGGATTGTTTTGGTTGATGACTTTTCAGCTGTGTCACTGTTTGGAGAAATTCTGCTTGGCTCTTTATCACCTCTGTCATTTTCTCTAGTTTCAGTGCAGACTTGGCTGAATTGTTGCATGCCAAGATTTTATCTAGATGAACACCATTCTCTTAGTTACTCCTGTACCTAAAATTCAGATAAGTCAAGAATATTACCTTTTGAGTTTAAATGTATCAGTTATTTGGTTTCAGTCTGTATAATGCAACTTACCATTTGTTTTCTGCATTAGTGCATACCTTAGCAAGTTTTCCTTAACTAAATGTGATTGAAGAGTTTTAAGATTGTTATGAAGCGTTTTACGTCACCAGTCTATATATTTGGTTATAGCCATTCTTTGAATATTCAGACACAGGCACATATGGAATGAATAACGTGTAATATTATCAGGTGGTTAGCAGTTTAAATTTACTGTGTGATTAAACATGGAATAGTCTATTTGATTTTAAACCTGAGTGTCCTTTTAAATTTTACAGCTGTCAGACGACTGTTTTCCAGTGTTTGAAATACATTACTACTATGATATTTGGCTGAAGTATCAAATAAAGATGTTTAAAACCAAATTAACACACACACAAAAACCTTTTCAAGTAATTTTCTTCACTGTCTAAATTAGTGTTTTATAATAACGCTTCTAATTTGGCATTAACTTCTCTAATATTGCTTTATTCATGTTGGTAAAAAATTTAACTAACAGTTGATATATTTGGTAATTTTAAAACTACCTAAACCCAAAGTGATCCAGTATAATTTGCTATAAAAAACCATCATGGATTATCTTAGCAGTATCCTTTACCTATGGAGAGTTGTTTAACTATATTCTCATTTTACTACTTTTGTTTAGACACTTCTGAGAGGTACTCTGAAGAGTACTTAATAAACAACTTTGACAGTTAATAATCTTCAAGCTTTTCAGTGTGTTCATGTAATAATTGCTTTTATTTCTTGGCTTAATTTCTTTTTTCTTCCACTAATGTCTCTTGTAATTTGGCTGTCCAATAATAAGGTTTTTGCCTTTTGAGGTCTAATTAGAATTTTCTTTTTTTAACCCTCCCTACCCCAAACCAAACAAAAAACCTCACCCCAAACCAAACACCTCTCTCCACCCCCAAACTACAAAACTCTGTGCACAGTGTTTAATAGAAATTAAAAGTTGGTTGTGTGACACTTTATGTACTAGTAAATTATGGATATTTGATGGTCACTCTGCTGCTGTTAGGTTTTGTGATACCAAATTAAACCTCATCATTTAAGGTGCTACGTAAATGGATGAGGTAATTAAACCGGAAGATAACTTTGCAAAAAAGGGGCATATAGACTTATTTGCAAGAGAGACAGGGATGGCTTCTTTAGTAGGAATAGTTTTTAATGCTCGAGTTTGAAACTGCTACTTAGTTTGAGGTTAAATCTCTGAAGTTGTGTAGGAACAGTCTGGGCAGCAGTGGCAAGTCTGTTCTCCAATTCTGTAATGTAATGCTCATGGAAAGCCTTTTGCAGAGTGCTTGTACGAACTTATGCATCAGCTGTTCGTCTGGAAAGCTTGCTAATGCTACTTCAGACCTAAGATAGAATACACATTTAAATGTGTTCATGCAGGCCAGCTTCCATTTTTTGCTGTTAGCAAGCTGTATGTAACTTTAAAATATCCCCTGTACTCAGTAGGGTTGCCTGGAAAGTGTTTTGTACCAAATAGGCACTGTCCATCTCTTCACGTTTAAAATAAACATTTAATTTACATTTGTTTTTGAACAGACACCAAATCCTTCTGCAAGTGAGTTTATTCCTAAAGGAGGATCAGCCTCTAGGCTGAGTAATGTATCCCAGTCAAGTATGTCTGCCTTCTCTCAAGCCTTGTTCTCTCACCCCTCCATGGGAAGTCCTGCTACTGCTGGGCTAGCACCAGGTAAGTTGGGACTAATGGTTTACAGTACAGTTGCTTCTTCTAGCTTCATGTCAGACATAACCGTGTATAGGTAGTGATAGATAAATGTAGCCACCTCCTGCTCTAGCTCTTAAAATTAAGACACTCTAAGCATACAAAAGTGCAGGAAATTGGGATTTAACTTCCAGTAGTATGGAAATCACTCTGCAGGCTGTGAAACCTGTTTTCAGCACTGAAATTAACTCAGCCTAACTTTTACTCTGCCCTTTTGGGGGAAAGGGAGCGCTGAGTTACCACATACTGTGTTCCATGTGGGTCCTTGCCAGAGCAGTACCGAAGGATGATTTAAACTACCTGTAGTCTAGAAGTACAACGCTGTCTACAATGAGTATGATTTGTTTCCAGAGTACCTGTAGTTCCTAGCAGTAATTATTTTCAATGTTAATGAGTATACATGAGGACCTAAAAAATCTTGATGAAAACCAAAAAGTAGATAACCTTATTTTAAAATAATTTTTCTTAATGTTAATTGTTATTGTAACTGTCATATGTAATCTCACTTTTAAGACCAATTTAAGATTATTTCCCATGTTTAAAACTCTTTACAAAAAGTGTTCCATGCAGTCTTACAATTGAGTGATAAGACTTTTTTTTACACTTTATAAAGTTCAAGCTCTTCATGCATATTTTGGACTTCTGATCTTAAAAAGTTAGCTTAATCCTATTTTTTTTAATAAAAGGAAATAGTTTTAAGATATAACCTTCAGCAGATCTGGATATTACACATTGCAGATCCTTTAGCAAGTTTCTGTGTGTACCTAAACCTTCAGCAATCTCTTGCAACTGACAAGAACATGTTGCAGTACTGTCTGATTCATACTGTATTGTGCTGTACAGTCTTATTGGAAAACTGTTGTGTTTATATGCCTCTCAGCCTTGTCACCTGGATTGAAAAGTGTATAAAGGATTAAATAGAATACAGTAAAATGATCTACTTTTGGAAAGTGTCCAGTGGGGTCTCAGAGGGATCCTTCACAGTCCAATTTCTTTACTATCTGTAAGTAATATTTGAAAGGATAAGTAACACTGTTGGTGGAGTTCATACAACAATTTGAGCTCCTAGAAATATAGATGCCAATGCTGAAAACTATCTAGGTTCAAATACTACTGTTTATGGATGAGAGGGATGGGGGAGTATTCACAAGAGCTAACTTCAAGCAAAGCTGGCTTGTTTCTCTGCTCTTCCTGTATAATGAAAAAGAATATGGTTGAGAGTAGGGATCTCGGTTGGGTGCTCTTGTTTTTTCTAGAAGCCTTTTTATTTTACACCGAGTGCAGAATTATCTGAACCTGAATGTCCTGTGTAAATAATACATTTATCTTTTATTTAAATGGTTTAGCTGTCAATAGTATATATCCACAAAAACTTAGTTACACAAGGTGAGTTAGGAGGTGCTCTTTCTAAAAAGTTAGGCTCTTAAATAAGAAAACAGTATTTTATGTGTAGGGCAATGTCCTTTTGGTTATACTGGGTAACAGAAAAAAAAAATTGAAATATGTTCTGAAATTGTCATTAAAAATTATTATTGGGATCTGTTAGCCTTCAGTAATTGGAAAAAAATTCAAGTGAGACCCATCTAAAGAGTTCATAAGAATTTGCCTTTAAATAAAGATGTCTCCTTCCAGTTAAATGGTCTATATTCTCCGGTAGAATAACTTCCAAGAAACGGGTAAGATTTAGACATCTGCATGAGATTAAGATTGCTTATAGTACCTTACAGAGTAGTGGAGGAAACTTCCTTATTTCTTATGAAATATTAATATAGTAGGAATAATTTGTTACAAGTTCCATAGTTCAGTTCACCCATAACAAAGTTGGTAGATGATGAGAACAATCCCTTGATTTCCCTCTTGAGGATGGAGTTCTTTCACATCTCTTAATTTCTGAGGTTTTCCTAAAGATAGGTACAAATCAAAACCACTTTTGACATCTAGTATTTCATAGGTAACTGTTCACAAAATTGATTGTCCCTGGAAGATATTTGTCCTACTTGTCTTACCAACAGAACTGCAGAAATACTGGAAAAAAGGACAACTGAAACCTAACATACTTTAATAGGTAACTTATTGTATCCACACCTGCCATATCCATTAGGGTGTAGCATGGAAGAAGGTTCCTCCTACTTTTGCCTGTATTTACACAGATAAGTGCTTTCTAGCATAATCTCAACACAGGGTCGGTTTTCATTTTGGTAGCTTTTAATAAAATATGAAAACATAGTGAGATAAAATGCAAGTTACACAAACAGTGGGAGAAGATTGTCCTGTTGATGAACTTTGAACAGATCTCCTTCACCTTCTCCAAATCTTCTTTCCTTAAGCTTTCCTGAATAATACCCTTTTTTTGCTCCTTCCATTCCCTTGCTAACAAACACATCCTGTTTGTCATTCATATGGGAAATTTAGTGAGTTGCTGATAATCTCAAATAGTACTTCTGCTAACAAGCTTAGCTTATCCAGTTCTGCAGTTTCAGCGTAATCACTGCATTAAAATGTGCAGCAAAGCATCTGAAAGAAATTCATGAATGTAATTGGAGTGATAAGACATCTTTGCAGTGTTAAGCTTGAGAGAGAACAGATGTATAGCCCCCAGCAGAGAGAATCTTTGTCTGGCTGGGGTTTGCATCAGCTAGGTTATAGCTGAAGAGTGATGTCTTTGTCGTTGATGGAAATGGCAGGAAATTGCTGTTGCTTTTGTATTTAGTTCAGGACAGGCACTAAGCTTACGTAGAATGTAAGAGATCCCGTTTCTGCTGCCAGCCTGAACCTGTAGGCTAAGGAGCCAGGAGCATAAAGGTGATGTACTTGTAGCCCCTCATGAATAGAGATGTGCCAACTGGGCGCAAGAGTGTAGCTCTAGGAGCTCATGACCCCAGCTGAGATGGCTTGAATGGCCTAAGGCACTGAGAGCTTACTCCCATTTTCCCGTATCAAGTATGGTGCAGCCATTCTGCTGACAAAGTTCCATGGTCATGCCACCATAGTACAAGAGAATAAGAAGGGAAAAAGATTGAAAAATAAGTTTTATCCCAAATAAAATTGAGTAGAAAGAATTTAAGACTTCAAAGTTTAATGAATTAAGCAGATTTAACTTGGAAATACATAGCTATAATGCTAATGGCCTGATAGCTTATAATAATAAGAAAAATATAGTGAATTTAAGGATACTACTTGAAATAATTTATTGAAACAGTCTGGGTTTTTTTTTATTTTGTTTAGTCATTCCTCAAAATATACCTGGTAATCTAGAGTATCTGTAAAGTACAAAACATAATGGGAATAAAATGGCAATTGCTTAATTGTTGACCTCTGAATGTTTTATGAGCTTAGAGGCATATGGATGTAGATGAGTGAATTTGTAGATAAAGGTAAGAAGGTATGTATAGAACATCTATTGGCTTCCTCTTTTTTTAAAAAAGTATTTATGTTGTAGGCCAGCTCATTGGTATGCACATGAGCTTAATGAAATCCTGCTTCATTAAGCTGTAAACTTCCATTGGATCCAAAAGACTGTGGACACTGGGGCTTTAATGAGAGTTCATGTTTGATGCCCTTTCTTTGATCCTGTTTATCTGCATGGATTCTCAGGTTCAACATACAGCCTAGCTTTTAATTCATTGCATGTTACAAAACTTAGAAGCATCAATCTCATAAAACATCTTTGAGCACTGTCTCAAATGGATTTCAAAGTCTGCCACTTCCCTTTCCTCAATCACAATGAAACTTTGAAAACAAAAAGCAATGCAAGGAGGGCAAATGTAACAATACAGAGGAAGATGTAAATATGACCTCTTTTTCTACCTAAAATGAGACTAGCAGCAGGAGCTCTAGGTGTGTGTAGGTAGCCTGTGCAGTCACCGTGAATGTTGTGAGAAGACCTTCAAATTCCACAAGCATTTCCATGTTGGTTAAGATACTATGGCAGTTGTATACCATGACAGTGTTTATCAGATGTAAATAATTGTGAGGTGAAAGAAGCAGTTTTCTCCTTGCGGTTTACCTTTCAAGACAGTATTTGACTTCTTCATGAGGGGTGTTAAGGTTCAGTGGGAGGAGAATGGAGAGCCACATCTACTAGTAGATAAGGCTCAGGAAGGACAGGCTGAGGCAGGCCCTTTGGTGTTTGTCTTAGTACTCCTGTTGGCATTTTATTATATGGGAACACTATACCCTTTCATAGGGAAAGCTTAAAAAAATTTATTTTTTAATTTGTCAGGATCACTGGTGTATAATAACTATAATTAGATTATTCAAACCCATTTTTTTTCTTAAGGCCTTAAGTGAATGTTTATCAATTGTGCTGTGGAAAACTGCATGTTTAACTGTGAGGTGTGTTCCATATTTACCACATTATTACCATTGTATAATCAGTGCCATCATTTTCCTTCAGTACGAGTCAATAGGAATATATGTTCACCTTGTAATACAGCCATTTTCCTTTATTTTCCTCTAATTACATTTAGTTGTGGTAAAATATTAGTAAGATTTTAACTGGTTGAAATACTGGTGAAGTTGGTGAGATTGTTGGTTTGTGCACCCAGTGATTTGCTTCCTTAAGTACTTAGCTATGCATCAGTTTCACTGTGTTAAAAGCATTTTCTCTTTCATGTGATATTTGACTTCTAATAATATTTATTTAGACTCTGCAGAATTTATTGCAGGTCTCAGAAGAATCTCACTTGGATATTTGCTGTCTCAGCCTGTTGATACCGACCGCAGCACTAAATTTCTCATAACTTGCAGTATAATATAGTTGTGCACAACCAAACTGTAGTCAAGTTTGTTTTGTATCTTGAACTTAACTATGCATATTGGCAAATGAAAAGCTGTATCTTCTGCCCACCAGGTGATTTTCATTGAACTCTTAATGTCCTTCCAAAATCAGATCTAACTGAGGCTGAAAGGGCATTTGAAACTATTTGTGTAACACTCTCTTCCTTTTCTTGCAGTCTTTTGTTGATAGCCAAGCAATGACATTAAGGATTTATATTTGTAACCATTCTTTGGCAGGAATGATTTTTAAAAAAGTAAATCTTACAGTGGAAGTTGTTTAAAATCGCATCAGTAAGAACCACTAGTGATAGATTTTTCTTTTTCTGGGAAACGTTCAGTGGAAGGTCACAATATAATTTTAGTGAGGTTACAAGTCATTGCTTTAATTTCTAAGAAAAGATGTAGTATACTGTGTCTTCTATGTACAGTTTTTATTTTAAAGTAGGTAAGTCTTTGGTTAATTTTTCACTAGTATATTTGAAGGATGTTGGTTTTTTTTCCTGGCTCCTACAGTTGAGAGTTCAGTTGGGGAAAAAAAAAAAGTTATCTCCAAGCCAGTTATTTCTGTCTGGGTAGACACTACATGCTTGCAAGGACTTCAGTTAATACTGTTTTATTTGAGTAGAATTAAAAAGACATGTCAATAACTTTCCCTAGATGAAGAGAATCCCTTGAACATCATATAGACAAATGGTAGAGCTGCTTCAGTTTTATGGCCATTTTAATTAGCCATCCTTCAAATTTTATTAGTAATATATTTTTCCTTTGAAATGGATCTTTTCTCCCAATGGTTTAAGAATGCATTTATGTTTTAGTCTTCTGTTAAAAATGTAGCCATCTCTGCAGTAACCATTGAAATATCTAAGTGTTAGTCACTCACGGCAACTTTTACTTTAATGGAAATTTATTTTCTGTTGTAGCCTAAACCAGTGCTATCACAATGCATAATGTTTAATTTGTAAACAGATTTTTAGGAGGCTGCTTATGTTACTATTCAGAAGTACTTTAAAAGTTAATAGGCACTTCTGAATGTTTTAAAATTCACATACGTTTAAGTTAATACACTAGTCAGCAAGCAATTATTCCATAATATTTCTTATCTGTAAGGTGTGTGTCCACACATGTACATATATTAATTTAAAGAAAAGTTCTGGCCCAGGAAAGTATTGAACTTATATTTTTATAATTCTCATATTCTTATATTCATGTATTTTATATTTTGAAAAAGTAATTTATTAATAACTGTAGAGACCCAACGAAAGAAATGGGTGTAAGATTTTCTCACGGTTTACATTTAAATATTGTTTATACTGTTGGAACTATTTGCTTTTCAAGAACAAAAGAAATAGTTGTGCTGAATTAATATGCATGCTTTATGAAATGTCAAAAAAAGTAAATGATTTGAGCTAAATGGAAGGTTACAAATACTCTGCTAATATCATTAGGGTAATATAGCTTCAAGAGCATTTTTCTCCAACTGCTGATTAAACTGTTAATGCTAAAATTGTTATTTGCTTTTCTGGTTTGTTTAAAAAAAGAGAAAAGTCAATGTAGGACAGATACGACTGCTGTAGAGACAAGATGTAAGTGTAAAAACACTCCTACGCATCACTGATGATGCATATTGAGAACTCTGCATACAATAACTCTTGATTGAAGTAATGAAACTAGCTTTTAGTAACTAAAAAAGTGTGTATGAAAAAAGTTGCTCATGCTCAGATATTTGCTTAAATTATTTTCAATTATAAGATCTGGTTGCAAGGGCTTATTAATGGAAGTCATTTAAGCAAATGTCTGAGTACCAACTATCTGAGTTCTTATTTAGAATTCTCAGTTGTCCATATATCATTAGATATAAAAGTTGTGTATCTTATGTTCTTTCAAAAAAAAAAAATTTAGTATGACTAATATAATTGAGTGTTGAAGAGAAAATAAATCTTGATCTGAGCAAGTTTCATAGATGCTCTCCTTTGCAGTAATCTGAACACCTAGAGATCGAGGATCTTCTAGTAGTAGTACTAGGAGTTTTGTGAAGGGTACTCTCTTCCTCACACCAGAAGGTTTCTTTGACATCTCAACTTTTATAAATAAGTGTATCTGAGAATTCTGCATACAATGACTCTTGAAGTAGCTAAAAGGTGTGTGGGCAAAAAACATTGCCCTTGTGTTTCCTCACTTTGTTTTGAAGCTGAGCTGCTCAAGTTTCAGTTGAATTCCCCATTTCATGCTGAGGGTGAACACCAGTCAATGAAATAATTTTAAATTTGAAAATCTCAGCATGAATGCCTAACAGACTTCATGTTCTCAGAAGTTATCTTTGCAAATCAAATAGATCTTTTGGAGGATGATATTTGAATATAATCACTATAGGGAAAAGAAGTTCTCCCCTGAAATTATTAAAAGTAATATATTGTGTGTTGCTTATTTGTGTGCTACTCTGATAATTCATATCCATGGAGTTGGTTCTAATAAAAGCTACAGACATAACAAGGTGAATGAGTTACAGCTTGGCAAACTCCGCTGACTGCTCATGTAACTTATATAAACATTTGGGTTTAAATTGAAAGAGGGGAGATTTAGATTAGGGATCAGAAAGAAGTTCTTCCTAGAGAGGGTGGTGAGGCACTAGCACAGGTTGCCCAGAGAAGCTGTGGATGCCCCATCCCTGGAAGGGTTCAAGGCCAGGCTGGATGAGGCTTTGAGCAACCTGGTCTAGTGCAAGGTGTCCCTGCCCATGGCAGGGGGTTGGAACTAGATGGTCTTTAAGGTCCCTTCCAACCCAAACCATTCTGTGATTCTATGGTTCACTTATAATCATTAATGTTTTCTTGTTGCAGTTTAATAAACTGTTTTCTAGACACAGTATTAATTTGATTGACCTCCCTCTTTCTACTACTTTTGTCTTTCATTCCAGTTCTCTCTGTAGGTGTTAAGCTCCCAAGTCCTTTCTCTCTGAACTAGGCAAAGATTTTTAGGAAAATGTATTTGTTCAGTCTTGCTCTTACTGTTTTACCTCTTAACTCTTCATATAGATGTAGCAATCCTTAAGCATTTCACCTGCTCAGAATATTAGGGTTAGTGAAGGCTGGGGTTTTTTTCCAAATTGCCTTTTTTTAATAACAAGGATTTGATCAAGAATCTTGCTGTGTTTCTTTAAGGAATGTCACTGTCAGCAGGATCTTCTCCTCTTCACTCCCCCAAAATAACTCCTCATACATCTCCTGCTCCTCGAAGAAGAAGTCATACTCCTAACCCAGCAAACTATATGGTGCCTACTAGTGCCTCTGCTTCTGTTGCTAATGCTGTCTCTCAGCCTCCATCTACTGGCCAGGTGATCCAGAAGGAAACAGTGGGTGGAACAACATACTTCTACACTGATACAACTCCAGCACCTGTCACAGGGATGGTAGGTTTGCTTTTGATGCAGAAGCGTATGGAGTTTCCAGCTGCTGAATTGGTTGATGCTACAGAGATTATTCTGAACACTCTGAAACCCTTACTCGGTATGAAGGTTTGGCCTTTTAATTGTTCTTTGAAATCAGTGAAATACAAGGACAAGAGAATTTTTAATGTATTTTTCATTTACCTACTCGTAGACTTCTGTGTTTTTCATGCAGCAACGGAAAGAAAGCATTTTATGTGTATCTCAGTGGATACCTACATAATGAGAAAACATCCAAAGGTCACATTCCTTTTTTTTTTCCTGATAGGTTAAATAACTCTTACACTTACAGTGCAGTCGAAAAGGTTATAGAAATATCAAAATAACTATGCACATACATACTGCACACATCCACACACCCCCCACCTTGAAATCATTAGTTGTGAACGTCACATAAGGAAATTGTAATGTATCTGACAATGTACTTCTAACACATACTGTCCATGAAGACTTTAGTTCAGAAGTTCAAACTAAAAGGATGACAAAACTTTCTGGTTTTCCCTATCCCTAAGGAGTTTAAACTGCTGCTTAAAATGTTTTGTTTTCAGGTATTTCCAAACTACCACATTTACCATCCAGCTGCACCTCACGTTGCTTACATGCAGCCAAAAGCAAATGCACCTTCCTTCTTCATGGCAGATGAGCTCAGACAGGTAAGATGACAGGATTTAAAGGAAAATGGCATCTCTTGGCAAAAACTAGAAATTTGCTAATAGTAGAAGAGAAACAGCCACTCAAAATCTGTGCACTCAATTTTTCCTGTGGAGCATTTTAAAAACCAAGTCCTATCAGCTAAGTATTCTTAAGTCTCATGTACTGTTTTGGTCTGCAGGAGTTTATTTATGTAGCATGCCTTTAAGCTCTACTCCTATCCAGTTTTCAAGTCTTTGACTGAAATGAAAGTATATGCAGGTGTTAGTTGATGATCCCTTCTCTGCGGGCTGGCTGTGACTGTTAGTTACCTCAGCTTTACTGTAGCAGATGCCCCTGTCAAAGCTAGCTCTAGCTCGTGTGTCTGCAGCTCCATCCTTCCAGATTTTATATGTTTTCAGTGACGTTTTCAAGCTAGTGGTATTCTATGTGACCCCTGCCCCAGCCACTTGCATAAACTTCCTATTTTAGTACAAGTAGCTGGTACTTCAAAGACAGTGTACTGTTAACTTACCAAAATGATGAGCTGACTTATAAAGTTCAAAACTTGACATAATTTGTTCTTTAGGAACTGATCAACAGACACTTAATAACTATGGCCCAGATTGATCAAGCTGATATTCCTGGTAAGTAAGTGTTTGCTATAAACTGAACTGTGATCCTGTTGTTCCACAACCATGCGTATTCAACATTAACAACATCATTGTGCAAAAAAACACCACCTGTTTTTAATTTTTTCATGAAGCCTTAATCATCAGCCTGGGCTCTGGATAACCAGATACAAAGTATTTTAGAAATATGATATTTTCTATTCTGTAATTTTCTTTTGGTTTTGAAACTTCTTAATGGTTGGGAATACTTAAAGTTGATGAGAGAGAAAAAAATCAGTAAGGCAATAAAGCTTCATGAAGAACAGTATTGTGTTACTTTGTACATATGCATCCTTCAAAGGAATATGTAATATTTTCAAAGACTATATTTTCAAAGACTAATGAATTGGATTGTTTTAAAGTAAATTGACTTGTATATTAGGGAAAATACTATTCATTGCAATTTGGCTTTTGGAAAATTTACAATTTACTATGTTCAACTTGATTTAAACAGATCACTTTTTTGGTTGCAGAATCCTTACTTCTCAAGTGTGTGTTTAATATGATAATGAGATAGTGGGGAAAAAAAATGCAGTTTAGTTTACTAATCCAGATGAAGTACAAGTGTATCTCTTCTTGCAAGGGTAATCTCCTAATCTGGTTTGTAAACCTTCAGCACCCCGTTCTCCTACACACACAGTATGTTAAAACATTTAAGATTCAAATTTGCTTTTTTTGTGATAAGAATGGGGTTTTTAATGGTATGAAGTCTGTGTTGAAATTTGTGCTTGTTTATGAATCTATGCAGAAGAAAACCCCACCAAAAAAGTCATTTTGAATGGTGAGTTTTGAAGGCAAATGAAAAAATGTCATATAGAACTGAGCATCTCTTCAGTTGATTTTACTTGGTGTAACTGTTTTTCTGAAGACAGTTATTTTAACTGAGATCTCTTCCAGTAACCTATACATTGCTATTAAAGCAAAACCAGTGAATTTTAACTTTCCATGCACCTAAAAGCTAGTGCAAAGATTTTACATATTAATGACAGGCATTTTAATCTTCTCTGCTACTGTAATAACTTTATCAAAGTCAACTGATACCTAATATGTTTCTGTGTATAAACTGATTTTAGCAGTTCCTGCGGAAGTGGACAGCTACCACAGTCTCTTTCCTTTGGAACCACTGCCACCGCCCAATCGGATACAGAAAACAAGCAACTTTGGGTACATTACATCATGCTATAAAGCTGTAAATAGTAAAGATGACCTGCCATATTGCCTTCGGAGGATACATGGTGAGAAGAAACGAGTTGTCTCAATAGAACTAGCATTCCTAAGCCTGCTAGTCATATTTTAACATCTGGTTGTTTTTCAGTAGATTGAGAAATGCTGAAGTAAAAAATTCTCTCCCTAAACACTACATTTGAAACGGTGTTTTCTGTTCTAGGTTTTCGTCTTGTTAACACCAAGTGCATGGTATTGGTTGACATGTGGAAAAAAATTCAGCACTCAAATATAGTAACTTTGCGTGAAGTGTTTACCACTAAAGCATTTGGAGAACATTGTAAGTGTTCTGTGGTTTGCTTTTTTTTTTCCCCCAACTGATGTGTTGAGACTTTTTTTCTAAATATGCTTGACTTACTAATTGTCACATGTTTCTATTTTTAAGCTCTTGTGTTTGCATATGACTTTCATGCTGGAGGAGAGACTATGATGAGCAGACACTTCAATGACCCTAGTGCTGATGCCTATTTCACAAAACGAAAATGGGGTAAGGAAAAGACGTTATTGTACGATTCTTCCCTAAACCATTTCCAATACTTAAGCAGCAAATAGCTCATCAGAAGTTTTCATTCAACTTAAGTTTTTTTTTTAGCTAATTAATTCTGTCATATCATAAGCTGATTGCTTTCAGAGAACTCTTCTTCACTTTCTATTTGTAAGATACCTGAATATATATAATTTTTAAATAACAGAAAAGCATAACTAGAATTAGAAGTCAAGTAAAAGGCTAACAATGAACAATTTACTTTTCTGGTCACATTTGACTTTGACTAATTCGCAAAATTGATGTCAGTTTGTAAGAAAATTAGAGTTCTTTGGGGAAATAAGTTTGAATGGCACTGAGAGCCAAGAACTCTTGGGTCTTAGCTGTAGGTCTGTCACTGGCTGACACTTACTGGAGATGTTTCCAAAATCATAGAAGACACAGGCTATGTCAATTTGATGCTTGCTGTTCAGGTGCCCTTCACTGACAATTATTTTTTCTTTGTGAAGTATTATGAGGGCTAATCAGACATGGTTTTATTTAATGTTTTGAAACATGAAGTATTAATACAAGAATTGATTGGAAAATCCATATATTCTTTTGAGACACAAACCTCATAGGTCTGATTTTTTCAGATTTATGCTGTGGCTGGAAAGGAGTCACTAAAGCTACATGATAGATTTCATTAACAAACGTAGATGGCATGGTCCGTGGCTCAGTAAGTTGCCCAGCAGAGCTCATATCCATGTGGCTAAAGCCCCTACTCTTCCAAAACAGTATGCTACCAGTCATACTGCCTATTAGGACCAGTTCGTGACCCATCTGGGTGTTGTCTGGAACACAACCCTGAAATTAGATCTAGCAGTAGGACTGACCAGAGGACTACGACCTGACTGTTTTCTTAGAGCAGATGTTCCCTAAATGTCTTAAGGCTGCCAGTGTATAGAGAAGCAGACACTAAAGTTTATTCTTTCTTGTGCCTGTTGAAATTAGAGCATTTAGCTGTCAATTCTGGAAACATGGAGAACTTTTACTTGGCTATCTGGTAGATCAGAGTATAGTGGATTTGTAGCGTGTGAATACATTCAAAGGCTCATAGGTCCTTTATATACTGAATAATTCCCACTGGCTTTGCTGGGTAAGCGAGGTTGGAGCTTGAGTTGCACCATTGGTTTTGGTGGTAGTATCTCAGAAAAAAACTTGCCAGATCCTGTGGCAAGTCCAAGAATGCAATTACAAATTCAGTGACCCTGATGTGAAACTAATTTGGTAGGATAAACCTAGAACACCTACTGCCAGGTTAATGACTGCTACGTGCAGGACTAGACTTCTGAGTGTCTCCCACCCATGTATTTTCAATTTCCATGTAAATCAGTCCTTGTTATATTTTGTAACTCCTCTAGACTATTACAGAATAATGATATCTGTTCTAGATAAAATAATAAGAGTTGTTACAAAGTTCTTGGGGACACATTCTTTTGTCACACTGGAGAAGAATTAAATTTTGCTCCTATAAAAGGGAATCATGTCTCATTAATATGAAAGTTCTTTGAAGGAAGATCTTTGGGTTTTCAATGAAGTCCCTCATTCCTAAGTGACCATGAGATAAAAGAGGAAGTCCTCAGTTAGGTTAATAATTGGTAGAAGATAAGAAATGGAGTAAGAGTGAACAGTTGATTTTCAGTGATGGGAAATCACTGAGAATATGTGCTGGGAGTTGTATGTCTTAAGACCTTCGCTTGTTTGCACTGAAGATAAATAATGGTCTGTCAAAGTTTGCTGATAATACCAAATTATTTGGACTGTTAAAAACAAAGGCCAATTGTGATGGATTGCAGAAGGATTTTACGAGACTGGGACTCTTGGCAATAATCTAGCAGGTGATGTAATGCAAACTGATGTGATTGAGACCAAGCCTAACTCCAGCTTTAAACATTAAATGATGTCCTCTGTTGTGGCTGTTACCACTCAACTGTAGCTCCAGATCTATTATTGAGTAGAGTGAGGAAAATACTGTCCTCTTTCTGAATAGTAGTAAAAGGGAAATGGATTGTTGCAGTTAATTAAGAAAAGAAAGAACAATGAAATGGAAGACGTATTCAAGATGTGGGTGAATTGTAGACTCATATCGGTAGTTGTGGTCCTGTTTACACATTTTGAAAGGTATAGAAGAACAGCAAAGAACTTGAGAAGAGGTAACAGGGACGATCAATGGCATGGAACAGCTTCAGTATGAAGAACACCAGAGTAGAATAGTACTTTTCATGCTCTTAATGATGGACAGTAATATGATGGGCTTAAATGACTCAAATATGGTAGGTGTCTGAAAAATCATCAGGGATAAAGAAAACGAGCTGCAAATCATTGGAAGCTGGAATATTTGTTTAAGTTCATATGCTCTGGTATCTGCTGCAAGCCACTGTTGTGATTTTAGTGTATGTATCTTTGAAACAGGCTAGTGGGGTCTCTGGACCATTTATCTGACCTACTACAACTTCCTTCTGTAGGCATGGATAGTTTTTGAAACTGGAAATAAGACATCAATTTCTGTTCAGCCAAACCAAAGTATTATTTCGTTAAAACTAGTTGTTGTGGTAGAACTTAGTAAGGAAGATAGCTTTCTCCTACCTGTGGCACTTCTCATTACCTGCTCTTCCAGTCTTTGTATTAGATAAATTAGAAGGACAGTCACCTGAAATTCCCAAATTTTGCCAAATCTTTCTGCAAATCTTTGCTTTGGCCTTTCTTTTTTTGTAACTGCTGCTTTCTAGTCTGGTCCTCAGTAGAAGGAGCAATTTAAGAGAGAAAAATAAGATTGCATACCTATAACTTGATTTCTCGGAATTGCCTGCCTTCATGGATCCTTTCTCCATCCCCTCACAGAGTTTCTTGGCCGTCTGCCTGCCTAGAGGAGACTCCCAAGAGAAGCAGGGGAATGGATGGAAGTTGGGTACTCTGCAGCATGAGGCCCAGATTAGTACAATTGCTTTTAAAGGTTTTAGGAGGCACAACACTGTGAACCTGATCAGTGAACTCAGAGTATTTGATTTCAGGTATGCAACCTTATTTATGTTGAACACTCCAGTTGGCAACACGAGACTTTGACAGTTAAAAGATGAGGATTATGGTTTAAATAGCTGTCTTGCATGTCACTGGTGTCAGTGTGGTCAATCTTGGGGTTTTTTCTTATTGCTGTGCTATTTACAGACCCTGTTGTAGAACTGCTTTAGAAGGGATTTGTGTGGGGGGCAAAAAATAGCAGTTTACATTTATTTTTATACTGTAAATGTCTTTGTTACTTCTTAATGCTGTAGGATTTGTTGCTTATGTTCTTTATTCAATGAAATATCCTTTTTCTTCAGGTGGTACAGTGTGATAGTCTCTTCTGTCATACTTTACTAATTTACACAAGTCTTAATCAGTCTGACTTTTCAGTTAGTTGTTCCTAGGAGTACATTTATTTGAAAAAAATCCTTTTTGTTTGAATCTCATTCCTTGTATTTCCTCAATGCACTTACTTCTGTCAAAAGTGTGTAAACATTAAATCTATTGTTCTGGAATTTTTGGACTTTCTTCCACCTTTCTGATGTTTCTCAACTTCAAATTATACTACGTATTAGTGGATTTAGCTCTGCAGAAATGATGTGTCCCTGCCCATGGCAGGGGGGTTGGAACTAGATGATCTTTAAGGTCCCTTCCAACCCACACCATTCTGTGATTCTATGCTCTCTTTAAATTAGCATGCCAACCCATAAGTACTGAAATGTTGCTCTTAACAGTCCAGTAATTAAATAGTAAATTACATTCTGAATGCATGCACTTTAAAACTATTGGCTAGAAAATCCTGGCAAATTAAAAATAACTATCCACTGGTGCCAGTAAGGTTTTTTTCTTTGTCCTGATGAGTTTTTGTGGTTGGCAGAGATAAGCATGCCTTTGATATGTCCTTTGTTCGTTTACTAAAAGCGCTCTGAGTAATTAAATGTTGGTGTACATGCTGTTAATAGTTTTCAGCACCACAGATTCTGCTTTTCAGCAAACACTTTCTAATGAAGATAGGCACGTTTCCTGGACCTTGTTTTCTTTTGGAGACATTAATAGTAGTATGTAATGCACAAGATGAACTTTGTTACTGACTTTACAGTTTTTGCATCCTCAGTTGATGAATGTGTTTTCATAAAATACCTTTTCTATTGAAAAAGAAATTTGTGTACTTAGACTGTGAGGAGGAGAAACAATATGAATATTGAAAATCAACGTGATGTTGAGGACAAAATATGTGACTAATAATTATCTTAAAATACCTTTGCCAAAAGGTACTACTTTTTTCAAAGTAAAATGTTTTCAGTATGTACAGGTCTTTTACAAAATGCAGGGCTGCATTAGTACTTCAGAACCTTTCTGTATACTGAAAATTGGGAAATGTAGACTGAAGCCCAGGTTTCCCTGGAGAAGGAGGAAAAATGAAAGCTACTGCATTTATCTTACTTTCAGTTCTTTAACTCAGGAATACCAAGCAAACACTCAACAATTCAGTTCTCAATGTAAAAGGCTGATTTACAAGCCTGAGAGGCTCAGTTTAGTGAGCAGCTAAATTGGGCTTCTGATTTCGTTTCCGAACTGTCTGAGAATTGCTCTTTGTTAGCATGCTTTCTGACAGTGTTCCTGATGTAAAACAGGTCCTGCTGCTGGTGGTCCCAGTTCTTCCTTCCCACCCTGAGCCTCTCCTTGGCTTTATCCTTGCTCTGAGGAACTGAATTTCATTTGAATACTTTCTTAACAAACAAAAGAAGTGTAGGCATGCACACCACTGCACATGGTACGCTTCTTGTTCCATTAAGAACATCATGCCACATAAAATAATTGCCAGCATCTTTATTTATTTATTTATCTTAATATGGCAGGGAAGAATAATGGATAACTCATGTTTTTGAAATGGCAGTTCTTACCCATAGAGAAGATGAAAAATGTATCTATGTTCTGAATCTCCTAGAGGTGAAAGTAGTGGGAGAGGTGAGTCTGCCCTGCAGTAGGTGGGAAGAATATAATCTGAAATTTTGCATGTTGTGACTGTGGATCCATCCTGTGGTGGGAAGCCTTTTTCAAATCAACCATGAAACCCCTAAGACTGCTTTTAGAGCAGAATAAAGGAATTCTGATAATTTTTGTAATGTTGTCTTATATTCTTGTGATGTTTTCAACTATGTTCAGCACTGTTTGGAAAGCTTTCAATTGTGTGTTTTGCCTGAAGAGTGGGCTTTCAAGTCTCATTTCCTTGGGCCCTTTCTCATCTGTGGCAGGCCTGATGGGCCTTATGGGAAATACTTTGTAGTCAGCATTGCAGCAAGCTGAACTGCTTTTGATCTTACTTGTTTTGAACAGATATGGAAGAGGGCATTTCAAAACTTATTCTTCCAGTGTTTTAGCTTGTATCTTTAGTGTAAGGGAATGTGGTGTGCAGCCAACCAGTCTGAAAGCAGCAGCCTTGGTTTGGCTGTAGCCTCAAGTGAGTCTTTCCAGCAGTAAAATAACGTTGCTTGATTGAGATTTTCTGATAGAGGGGGAGCAGCTCTGTTGAACTATTTCAGCTTTTCGGTGTTATGTTGAATATTCCCTTGGTTACATTGCCTTTATCTGTAAATCAAAGAGCAAGTGCTATTGTTTAGAAGTTGCATGCAGAAAAATAATACCCAACTTCTGGCTTTTCTCTCTGTGGGATATTATAGTAACACTTCTCTTCCAGTTAGATGTATTTCATACAGATCACAGAATGGTT